TGGCTGTCACCCAGAGTTCAAACAATTCTCAGTGGACAGACGGATAGGAAAACAGAATTGGGAAAATAAAGAGGAGTAAAGGGACTGAATTAGAAAGGAAGGGGTGAAATGCTTGGCCACATGGTCTGTTGGGAAATCCCCCACTGAGCTGGGAGCCCTGCACCCTGCTGGCTAGATGAAATGTCTTATCAGCCTGCAGCAGGACTCTGTCCTTTAAGTAGGGCTAGGGAAAACTCATTGTCCAGCCAACCAGCATCTCAACTGATCCGTGTTGCTTTTGACCTTAACCACCACTGCCACCAACACATGGCAACTTTTAGATTGTGTTAAATGTAAGATTTCTCATTTTTATAACATATCTTACGTGTGGGTCTGTGTGTGGCTTTGTGCACTGCAAACCCTATTTCTCTACACAGGTGTGTTGACAGCGCTGTTCATGGGTCATGTTTGCATCATAGGGGATAGGGTAAGACGTGTGGCAGTTGGATCTACCTGACTGTCTTTTAGCAATTCTTGCAGTATCTCTCCTCTCAACTAATCTACCAACCACTAATGAGCAGGAAATTAAGTTGTAACGTGGCTATCATACAGCATGATATGCACTAATTGCTCAGATTGTATCTATATTATTTTTTTACAAAGAACAGTAGGGTGCTCTAGTAATTTTCATTAATTACACACAAAGAAAGAATAATTAGATTCTTCATTATTTATTTCATTATTTTTTGTCAGGCATTTTTTAAATGTGAGATGGGAGCCGGGGGTGCGTGTCTCAATATGTCTGGTTATATTACCTCTCAAGAACAGGGTTGTGGATATTATGTGAAACATTTTAATGCACTTGGGTTTCCTAAAACTGCCCTTCAATGCCCAATCTTTGCCTAACACACCCAAAAATGTGTTCTTGCCTATCACTCTTTCCTCTTATGCAGTTTTTTTCTGCTGGTCCAACCTGCGAGGTGTTAACCTTCATTTGTCCTTAGTCACATTGAATTTTAGGAAAGGTTGAATGAGTTAAAGCAAACCCTCTCTCACTCAAACACATTCTTTACAAAACAGTTTTATTCAGAGTCTCAAGTTCAAATAACCAGTAAATAGACAGAGTTGTTTCTTTCTACAGTCTTGGTTAATACATTTCTGCTTCTCCTTAAAATAAGGCTTCAGAATAAACACGCTGCAACATCCGTGCCCTTGTTTAAATAGCATTTAGTGCTGCAATGAGTCACAACATTGAATTAGTACAGTGGGGTCAGGGTTGTTTGGCGATTTTGCTTTAAAGAAACCAAATACATTCAGACACAAAGCTTTTAATGACTTTTATACAAGGCATCTAAAGAAATCATTGTACCATGTTAATCTCAAACTGAGATGAATTACAGAGACACGAGAGATGTTCTCCTGTTCTTGCTTCGCTTTATAATTGCATTTCTTGATCACGCCGACAAGAGAATTGTCTAAACATTGTTCAGAAAATTGCAAATACAGTATGCATATGTCTGAGAGACAGAGAGAGGTAGCAGGGCGGACTGAACGAAAGAAGCAATCAACTATCTCCCAGCTACGGCTTCCAGGCCAGACACATTGCCGCCATGTGGTTTTTCCAGTAAGCTGACAAAGAAGCTGAATAATGTATCTATCAGTCGGCCCGAGTGTACCGAGAACTGGGCACTGAGGAAGCTGCCAGCTTGTTATAGGCTCATTACAGGTGAAGATGACATGTGGAGGTGCAGCCGCCTTGGCATTGTCTCCCTGCCCTGCCCTCGATAGAAAGCACAGCACTCTGTCACTCCCCATGGCATAGAGAAAGGCAGACAGAGGTGATAGAGGAGGAGGGAATGAGCCTCAATGCTCCCCTAACCCCCCAAAATGAAATTGACAGGCTTGCTGAAGTAATTGCTCCCAGCACTATTTTCTTTGGCAGGAAATACTGTTATCGACAAATAGGGGATTCAATAAGCGGCAGGAGATGAGGCTCTAGGCCGTGGTCAAATGGCTGTGTCTGTCCTCTACTGTTGAGGTTGTCTCTTGGTTCTCTATCTCTCCACCCTGCTCTTCCTCCTCCATACTCTTTCTCTTTGTGTCCAAACCCTACTTTCTCCCTCAAACTACTTCTGCTTCTCTCACTTGTTATGTCTAACTGCTTCATCACACACCTCCCCTCACAACATCTCTTTCCCTCATCCCTCCATCTTCCCTTGGTGCTTTTCTCTGGGGCCTCTTTTCTGACAATTTTCTTCTGTTGACCATTTTTGTGAGCCTGAAGGGGGGGAAACTCTATTACACAGTAGCCAGCAGGTAATGCCCACCTCCCTCTAATCCTCAGATTGTTTCTCTACTGCCGGTGTGGTGGTGTAATGTTGATATTATCCCAAAAGGATTCCATTGATTTGGGCTATGGTCATGAAAAAGCAGTTTATGGTCAGTGTCTTTGGTTTCCAGAGGTCAGAGCATGCGGTGAAACCAGAGCCATAGCTTTTCTGGACATATTGCAATGCCTGCTGGGAACTGCTTGGAAGTAAGAAGATAAATACAAAGTGGGCAATGTGTTTTTCCTCTCACTATGCTCTGTATTATTGAGGAAGTGACAAACTGAAAATGCAGCCATATACAAATATAGAGTTGCAGTGATTTACAATTATTCTTTTACTGTTTATTCTCTTGCTGTTTGTGGTCAAATATATGTTATTGAGACCCTAATACCCTGCCTAAAGTGCATGCATTTATAGTTGACCAATTACTGGTGTCTACATGCTCAATGTTGCAAGCTGTCCTTGACAAAGCTGCTGAGAACATTTTATTAAGCTTTCCAACCAAGTCAAGCCTCTGCTAAATGTCAGGCCATTGGTCTTCAGACTTGAATGAAACCCACCACTGACATAACAAACTAACCGTAACGTGGAGCAGTCTACCTTCACACTGAATACTGGAATAACCAGCACAACTGCCACCAAGAAACTGAATTTGGCGAACATTCCTCTCAGAGAAGTGCTCAGACATCAGCAGAATGTTCTGAAAGCACTGCCTTGCCAGGTCTTTTGTGCACTGTCAATAGTCCGTTTCTGAAAAAAAGCGGTGCCTCTCAGGAATTAAAAGCGCTATGCAGTTTTCCATCACCGTCTTACCTTGAAAACTCATAAGCCCAGACAGTTCACCCTGGGGTTTGCTATGTGTCTTCAGTGTCTGTCTTTCTTTCTGCAGACTAATTGAGCCTTCACACAGTTGAAATGTGGTCTTTACAATTTTCATTATTTTCATGGTCAATTGTAAAGACATGTGAAAATGGTGTTGGTCAGCATTTTGCAAGAAAGCGTCCGGTTGTAATAGTTGAAAAATATAGATGTAATGAGAAGGATTCTTACCTCTCCCTATGGTCTAATAACTACCTTCAGCCAGGTTAGAAAAGCTTAGACAGACACTCCTCAACATTCACCAAACGGTGCTTGAGAAAAAGATGAATGGCATAAGTGTACGTATCGATCAAGATGAGAAGGGTAGAGAAAAGACAAGAATCAGACAACATTGATTCATTGCAACATTTAGCTATAGTTGTAAGCAAAACAATTGTGTGAAAGCATACTGTCTAACCTTGTTGGTAGTGTTAGTATCACAATAGCAGAACAGACACAATGTATAAAAACCATGCCACTAATAATAATAATAGAAAACTGCAATGTTGGTTCATCTTTGTACACCAAGAAGAACAGTGACATGGTTTATCTGTTTTATTTCAGTTTGATGTGCCTTACAAAAAGCCCTTCTCATTAAGACAATAAGGTCGGCTGTTTGCTTTTTCATTTTCACTGTCAATAATAAACAAGACGTAGAAGATAGCAGATTGATGATCTTACGGCAGCCTTTAAGAAAACACTACTTGACATTTTTGAACCAATCAAACTCTAAGATCAGTTAAAACCTACACAACACATGGTTATTGGTATTTCGCTGTAGACTCCCTCTGCTTTGTTCAACCGAAAAATATGGTTCTTTCATGTTGACTGTGCATTGCAGGAGAGCAGCAGGCCTCTCTTTTCTCCAGATAAGTGAGCTAGCTTATTACTTCCCAAACTGCCTATTAGCACAGCTCACTTTGTGGGGAACCAGCAGTCCAGGGATGATCACAGTGAAAATGATTTTGTCTAGCAGTCTGGTTCGGCTTAACTTGTGATGTTGTTTTGCAGAGAGAGTTTCCTCATTTTGTTTTGTACGGCCCCTATACAAAGCCCCCATCGAAAATGTAGCTCATTTTGACACAAACTAAAAAATACCAATTTAACTCATATTTGTCGGAGTAGAGATAATTAAGTTGAATTAATCAATTTGCATGGAAAGGTTTTTGTCATTTGTTTTCCTGCATGAAAAGAAAGTCAGGCCATATATTCAATCATTCTGCTACTTTGGAATCAAGCTGCAGCTAAATGTAATTCACGGTGTTGTCTGCAGTGTGTGCTGGGTGAGTGAGTTTGTAAATGTATGTTTCCCTGCTGGGGTGTAAGTGTGTGTATTGCTGCCAATAGGTAGTCTCATTGTGTAAGCATCAGTGTAGCAACATGTCCCTAGAGGCTTCTGTGGAGACTATACACAAGAATCCATTTATTTCAAGCAGGAGCTGCCGCTGTGCTTGGCTCTCTCTGTGAATAGTCCATCATTGCAATATTGGCTGATTGAGAAAAAACTGAAGTTGGCCAACACATCACTAGATGCTCACTTGTCCTTTTACCAAAACACAGACATTTTTGCCAGCTACAGTATTATCACTAGCATTGTGAGAATCCAAAAAGACGTCAAAACGCGTCTCAACAACTAACCCTACTGAGAACACCAGACACTCACTAACATCAAGTCCTCGTCATGTTGTTGTTGAGTATGTGGTTGTCATCAAATCATGCATGGATGTCCTTTGTGTACACGTTTGTATTTGATTACAATGTTTGTATTAGATCGACCTACCGAGGAAATATAGTGTATGTTTGTAATCTAAACTTTTGATATTTGGTTTTCAGGGTGGACTTAGGAACAGCAGGCATGAGAGTACACTTTCCTCCCAAGAATATGTCCACGAGCTGCGCTCTGGCATCACAGAAGAAAAGCTGCTCATCTGCCTGGAGTCGCTCAGAGTGTCTCTCACAAGTAACCCTGTCAGGTTAGTAACTCAACAATTTCACACACTGCAAAACTAGCCTTTGCCTGGGAATGTTGGGAGTGATTTTTTCACGGGCTACGGACTAAACCCACCTTGTGTCTCTGATCGAGAAGTCTGATGACTAAAATCTTTCATCCGGTTCCATCAAGATCTAAGAAAGTGTACAATAGGAATATGGCTTAAAACTGGAGAAAAAGAACATTAATGGCGGCTTCTGGCAGACACCAACGATGCTGACGCACGCACTTAGGTGATACGCCGCCATCACAGAAGACCAAATGAAAACCCTGACGCACAGAATGATCATTTCTTGTGTGTTTGGTAGAGTGCAGCACAGTGACGAAGCTCAGTGGCTAAGTGCAAGGACAAGCTGTAAGCAAAGTAATTACTAATGCTATTTATATTTGTTTCTGTTGAGCAGTATTTGTATATCAGCAACCACAACTTCATCAGTGGAATGAACACTTCTCTAAAAAAAAGATTCTATACAAATGTAACTTTGTAACCTTCATGAAAGTAGGATGAATTGCAATATTGTGTAGGTGTACCTTGGCAACTTAAGGTATACGTACCTGGGATGTCTTTAGGATGAATATACTCCTTATTTTTTACTCTTGAAATTACATCATCATACTTTTTTCCTTTGTCTATTTATTTACATAAACTATGTATTTTTCAAGCAATACTCATCCAAATGTTAATCACGTCACTCGACATTAAGCAAGGGAGGTGTCTGCTGGAAATGATTAAATAATAATTGGATGTATGTAAAGGCCTCTCATTGGACTGTTAGTTAGAAAAGACAAATACAGAACATCAAGTTTTGAAACCAAGCGTACAATCATGGAGAAGGAAAATGGCCAGTTGTTTGGAACCAAACTATTGTTTAAATTATTGTTGTATTCGGCTCTGTCCTGCTCAGCCTTGATTGGCTGTAGAATCATTCATTACCAGATTTCAATGGTTTTATAAACCTCGTCTCTAATTTCTGACCAAATTCTCTGACTTCTCTCTTTAAATGGGATCTCCAATTTTAATTTGGCCCCACTAGTGCAGCAGAACCCTTAGTGACAGCAGATCCTTTACATTATTTACCAGCTCACTGTTGAGGAGATGTTTCCTAATGTGAATCAATGAATGGTGCATATTAAACAGTCACTGGATAAGTGGAATTCTTTTTTATGTTCACCTTGGGTACAGAGATAGACTCACCAGCATGCCCCCAGAAGAGCTTTTATTTAATCTGTTTGCTAATACCAGCATTACTGCTGCATCTCTGCATTATATATAGAGTTATAGAGTTTCCTACAAACCACTCAAGACACCCATTCATATGAGGGTAAAGCTGACCTTTTTCAATGCTCTTCTTCCTGAGCAAACTAAGGACCAACAGGATGCACATGTAATGTTTAATTACAAAATATACAAATGTATTCAGTCAGATAACAATGTTATAGCTAGTGAACCACACCATGCTTAGTATAAATGCATATTTTCAAGGTTCAAGGTTCAAGGCTTTTATTCGTCATAGTCAACAGTGCAACACAATAAAAACAGAAAAAATAGTAATATGTTGTATAGTTTACTGAATAGCTAAGTGATTATCCCTGGAGTGATCACAGAGCTGTGAAGCCGGTCTCCAGCGAGCTGTGGGGAGTCAAGTCAGCCTCTGCACTCAGAAAGGCCAACTGGTGCCGAGGGGATGTAAGTGAGGCCAGGCTCGCACTGTGTGTGTTTTCAAATGGCTGATCCTCTGGCCAGCATGTAAAGGACCAGTGCTTCATGGACGTGTCGCCTCCTACGGATGGTCAGGTCCATGCAGGGAAGAAGCCACCTTATGGGTGTGTGCGGCGACGAGGAAAAGTGTGAATGTAGACTAACACAGGTGTTCTGCTCATCTTTTCACCCTTCATTATTTCTCTCCTGGGTGAAAGGACTGATTGTTTTCTTGAAGCATGGATAAGGTTACTCATAATGAATATGAATGCACTTAATTGTCATGGATCACAACACACAGGAAATCCACATTTGGTTTACTGACTCCACTATGTTAATGTGACCTTTGTCCGCCATGTTATCATAAACAGAAAATAACCATGAAGTAGATAGCAGTGCAGTGCATTCATGCATATTTTAATTTACAACTTTTTAAAATGAACCCCTGGTCAGCTTTTGAATAATTATATTTTGGAGTCTTAATTTTTGTATTTGACCCGAGTTAATGAGCAATTCATCGGTAAAAGCTGACTACTAATAAGCCTGTACAAAATGTAAGATATACTGGTAGTTTGTGCATTATATCCCTACCATTTATTTGTGTCTTTCTGGTGTTTCCTATAGCATTAAGCAGGATTTCACATTACAGAGAACAAACTTAAATTCCAAAAGCAATGCTGGTGTTTGGCCAAGAAACTATCGGTTTGTCAAAGGTTAAAAGGTCAGCCAAAGCAAGTCTGCATTTTTACCCATTTAAGCACTGGAACAGTACGAAACGGACGGTTATTCTCAGTAACAATCATTAATGGTCCTAAACTGTTTTTGATAAATACATATATTAATAAATACATTTTTCGACCCAGATATTTCATCCATCACGTCAACATGCAATGAAGAAGTACTGCATGAGAGCTAAAGCTAAGCAGGAAATTATTGAATTTACATTTGTAAAAAATAACTTTCTTCCCTTCCCTTCAAGTGAAATGTATCATTGTAATTAGTTAAAACACTGCTTTGTCACAAGTGGGCCATTGATCAGACACAAATAGTATTTTTCTTATGGCTCACATCATGCAGACATTTTTAAATAATAGTGTCATTTGGATACATTTGAGCTAAATATAGCCCTGATCCATTAATACATGGTGAGCATATTTATCTTCATTCTATTTCAATCATATAAAGCTGGCCTGTGTTAAGACAATGGAGACATTTTCAACAATGATTTGATAATTACATAAAAAAATACTTTGTTTCGGAAACCATAATCTTCATTCTATACACTGAAATGAAAGTCTCCCCATCAAAGTGTTGTTGTTCACGCTCAGTTACTGCTTACCATTGCTTTTTGTTTTTCCTCTGATGTTTGGGCAGCTTGCTAATTTGCTCCCAGAGGCCTGTGTTTGTCTAATAGTTTAATTGGCTGTGCTGTGCACCTGTTTGGCAGCGCAGGTGGCCATGGGGCCATTGTGCTGAGGGCCTTATCTCCAGGCACTTTCACACAGGTGTGTGGCATGCAGCCTTTGCAGATCCACCCACAGATGGCATTGCCTGGAGCATCGGCTGCTGACTCTGTTTCCACTCTCTTCTCCTCAGCTGCCATGTTTTCCACTTCTCTATCTGTCAGAATTTACCCGCCAATTATTTATCCCCTACTTCATTCTTCCCATTTTAATTTTGTCATTTGGATACTTTCTTCTTAATTTAGAAGTGTCAGATTGACAAGCCACTTTTCATTAATTTCTTAATCCTCTAACATGAAGTGAGATGCCAACTTAGAGAAAATTACTCCCCCCTAAAATTTCTCATTTAGGGCGAGATAAATCCTGCGGTTTTTCTCTGCAGCATTTTTTTTCACAATTTGTGTTCTCAGTCTCGCATTATTAGAAAGCACATTATATATTCTCAATAGGCAAAAACATATACATTTTGATATAACTGAGGCAGAAATAGTGCTACTTATTTTGTACCATGTAAGTTGAAATGTTGTCTTTGCATGACAGGGCATACATTACTTTTAAACTTAATTTGCTGAATTCAGTCAGGAGCAGTGGGGTTAAAGCTCACTTCCTCTGATCTAACTCAGCTGTTCTTCCATCAATCGACTTTCCAATATAAAAATAGCAGAGTAGTTATAGTGGTTTTGGGCAGCAGAGCACACAGCCATGGTCCCAGCTTTTCAGTTCCCTATGTTTAGCCCAAAGGCATTACACTATGGCTCCGTCAAATCCCGACAGTGACTTCCATATTAGATCTGCTAGCTCTCAGATCCCTAAGACATATTTAAGCAAAATTGAACTGGGCTCCATACTTTTCATTATGTGGAATCTTCACGGTACAAGTCAGACATTGACTCGGGGGCATTTTCTTGTGGGGTCTTTATGGAGGCGGGAGACATTTGCTGACACCAGAGTTTCTCTCTGTTTCTGAATACTCAAGGTGTGGGTTGTTGTGATGATCTTGCTGCTCTGCCACACAGGATGTCTCTGAGTGAATCAGTCCCACCAGCTTTTCTCACTTGAATGCTTGTAGCTGAGCACTGAGGGTTGCATGGAACACTAGTAATGTTTTCTTACGAGCTTCGAAGTTACTATGCCTGCTAACATAAAGCTGCGTGCCCTATTGACTGTGTGTCCTAATGCACAGCTTGATAAAGCATTGAGCAACATACTGACAAACACCAACGTTTCTGCCAAGTACAGTGGTAGTGCTCCCTGTATAATTGTTAAGCGAAGCCCTTCAAAGCATTTCCTAATCTCATAGTCATTGTATATTATAGTTAAATACCGTCAAATATACCCTTATATGACCCCAACGATAATTTCTAGATAATCAAACAACTTGCAAATACTGAGTTGCCAGCTGGAAGGTGGAAATATTTGACAGTACTTGATTATCATTACATTTTATGTCTCTGGCACAAACTGATACGATTTAAAACCAAAACAATTAAAAGGTGTCAAAAAAGACACTCCCTTGGCACAAATTGCTTTTTTATTAGTAGCACTAAACTCTACACTTATATACCCGACTCTTCCTCATTTGGCCTCTTCTGTCCACAGTATAAACAACAGCACTTATCACTAGCAGCAAATGCCATCATCATTCCTCCCCAAACAAATGACTTTGACACAAATACATTTTGAAAGTATTCAAATTCGTATTATTATGACTTATGTCTGCCATGCTCAATTTCACCACGACACAGACTGTATGAGTGTTAGCTGCTGCAGTAGAGGGCATTCATTTTGAACCCTTGTGGTGATTGGCTGCGTGTAATACCG